ATCTATAAATTTTGGATGCAGGTCAACTAGTTTTTAAAAAATATTAAAAAATATAAAAAGAATTCTAAAAAAAAAACTAGAAAAGGGAAATAGTTTAAATACTTTCATGTAAATTTCTTTATTTAAGTCCATTTAAATGATGAATAGATTCAAATAAGATATGCATTGAATTAGACAGCACCCATAGAGAGGCTTTTGTGGGTGACAGGCAGTGGGGCGGGGTTCTTGTCGAACACATTTCCATTGAGACCAGGTATGGTCAGCTTTGTAACCAGAGCAAGCGGTTTTGGTTAAGTATAGCACAATAGCTGTTATAAACCTCTCTTGAGTGCAGAAATCACAAGATGTTCTGATTTTTGTGGCCAGAAGCAACCATTATAAACAATCATTTCATGATACTATATTACTTGGATGCATTATGCATTTTAGTTGTAGATAACATATCAGTTATATCCTAGATCCAATGGAACTGACACAATTTATGACTCTTGTTCTGCCATCCTGGGTTGCTTCTTTGGTTTTCCTCATCTCTGACACACTGCAAAAAAAAAAAAGCCACAACATTTCAAAGGTTCTAGCAGTTCCACAATGTGTGTTGTAAACTAATTCTAAAATTCATGATATCTTGATGATCTAAAATTAAAATCATTAAAATGATGGTCATCAAATGATTTAATCTGGTAAAAACAACAACAGCAATAAAAGACAAATTCAACATTTGCTAATTCTGGCTATTTTCAAAAAAATATATACATATGGTGGCAGTTGTTCATTTTGTTGACCCATCAATTCGCGTCTTTCATTTTGGAACAGACTGTCAAGTACTTTAAAACCAGTAACAGTTTGAAACGTTTTCTAACTCAATCTGTTCTTTTTATGTTTTGTCACATTGGTGCATGCTTCAGTGCCTGTGTGACGTGACATTATAGACAATCAACTTCACAATGTATGAAACAGCAAAGCAAAGTACACTTCAAAAGAAACAGAACATTCTTTACCTGATCTCCAACTGGACATTACCACAGCTAGAAGCCACTGCCAGCTGTTATATTACTGTTTCTTTAACATGGGCAGAAATCAAACATAGATTCTTGTTCATTTTAAATGGAGTGCAAAATGTTTAAATCACTGACTTGTGAAATTGTTAAGTCCTTAGTTAAAGTGGCACTGTCATGTCGCACTTGCCTTTCTTTAATCGATTCCTCTTCTCTCCCTCTGTCAGGATCTGTTCTTCATTTCTTCCTATCTGCTCTAGCTTTCTTTAAAACATAAGACAAAGTAGGGACTACTCTGTCTTATGGAGGTTTTCTACTCCTGACCATCTCTGACCAGCAGAGGAGCAAAGTGGGTTTCATTTCCTGTGGTCAGAGAAATTTTCCCACAATTCTTACCTTTCCTCCGTGATCTTACGATGCTTCCTGTCAGTATTCCTGAATGTCCTGTCATTTAGACAGAACGCTTGCGAATCTACCAAATTTCATCATAACAGAATGAGAACAGTTTGTTAATTCATATAAGGACGCAATTCGGGACTTTGTTCGGATCGGAATTTCATTTGAATGAATGAAACTCAAATTCCTATTCGTGCAGCGGCTGCATCTTGCAGCCATATAGTAGATAGCTCCCTGATTCCCACGGTAAAGATTACTCACTGTTAAAAAAATCAACAAAAAATCTAGTATTCCCCCTCCAGAGCCCCCACCCGTGCAGTGCGAGTGGGGGCTATTAAACTGAAGGGGGACCTATTGCTCCCCCTAAATAACAAAATAACAATAAGGGGGGGACCCTTTTGTCCTCCCCCTGGTCCCCACCCCTGAGCGGCGTGTGGCAGCCCTAAATAACAATAAGGGGGGAACTATTGTCCTCCCCCCGGCCCCCACCCATGAGCGGCGGATGGGGGCCCTAAATGAAAATGGGGGGACCTATTGTCCTCCCCCATGTCCCCACCCATGGGCGATGGGTGGGGGCTAAGTGTACAAATACACCCCCCCTAATGACTAGGAGACCCCAAGCCCCTAGTCACCCCCATTCAAATAACATGAACTCAATCACTACCTACCCCCCTCACCCTAAAAATAATGAGGGGGAGACAACAAAACTAAATAACTAAAAAAAAACTATAATACCAAGGGAACATATGAAATAAAAAAAAACCTGAGCACCTGTGGTGAAGCCAACCTCGCCACTATGTTCTGGAGAAGAATCCTGCCCGCCTGCTGCCCCAGGATTATGGCCCCCATGTTAAAACCTTTATTTCTCCACACAGAAAGGCTTGTTCATGCCTTTCTGCCAGGACGTTCGGTAAATTGAATTTACTGAACAAACAGACGAATGACCTGACCACCTGGGTAAGCAGTGTGCCAGCAATTTACCTCCCAGAAGCTGCGGTTAACTGCAGCTTAATTGACGAACGCTGGGTGGCCGTTGTTCGTATAGCCTAACACGTGGCAGCGGCCATTTTAAACTACCGAACGGCCAGCGGTGTTCAGCTACAAAACTCTGGAACTAAAAACGGACACTTTTCTTCATGAACACCGCTGAAGCCGCCGACCTTTCTTCTCATATCTCATTCGTTCATACGAATGCCGGACTATTCAGGACATTGAACAGACGAACAGAGCTACCCCAGATAGCTATGCCATGGAGCCCATTCGTATAACGAAAGATTATGTGAAAGACTTTGGCTCCATGGCGATTGAACTGTATGTATGTGATCTGAGCGCCATTTGGTAATCTGAATGTATATGTTTTATGCAGTAGTTATAACATTGTGTATTTTTATGTCTTTTATTGCCATGTGCATAATGGAGTTTTGCCTCTATCCTCGGAGATAATTGAATTACTTCCCAATTATCTCCAGGATAGAGAGGAGAGATTAAAATGTACCTGTGGGAGTGTTTAATTGTGTATGTCTGTGATTGATCATTTGACTATTTTGTCCAAGTCTTCCACCAGCTCCCCTAGGGGAGTGTCCACCTGGTGGAAGACTTGCATAAATACTGGGCAGGTAGCCCAGATTAAACAGATCTCTGCTTGACCTTCAATATGGAGCCTTGTCTCGTACTTGGGGGGATTGATTCGTATGCTTTTCCTGTTCGACTGCTAGGAGTGTAAACCTATTCATATGGTTTTTCCTGTTCGGCTGTTTAGAGCATTTGTATGGTTTGGAGCATTCGTATGGTTTGGAGCATTCGTATGGTTTGGAGCATTCGTATGCTTTCTCCTGTTCAGCGGATTGGTGTCTTCAGTAGCTGCCTGTATATCTGGAAGGGGATATCTCCTAAACGGCTTTAACCCCTTTTATGCCCGAGGTGCTGTTACAGCCCCCAAAAAACAAATCAGCCTAAAAAAAAAAAAACCTGACGCTAATAACGAATCCATCTTCACCAGGCAAGGGCACGGCGCAGACTGAGTCAAATTGCAGGGCATGTGAATTGCAGGGCCTTCACATGCCCTGCAATTTGACTCAGAGCACTCTGGTTGGCCTGGAATCCAACCAATCAGAGTGCTAGTCACTTTACACAGGGTGGGAAAAAGTTCTTTGGAATTTTCCACGCTGTGTAAAATGACTCAGAGCAATCTGATTGTTTGGCTTGGAATCCAGGTAATCAGAGTGCTAGTCATTTTACACAGCATGGGAAAGTTATTTGGAATTTTCCCATGCTGTGTAAATTGACTCAGAGCATTCTAATTGGTTGGATCCACCGTTTGTTGGAGGGGGGGTTATTTTTATAACAGTGAGCAGCCACAGTGACCTGCTCATGGTTTAGTAGACATGCCCCTACTTGTGGCATAGATTTCAATCTCCCTTATGCTATTATAGGGGTCATACTGACCCCCATCGAGTGAGGAGGACATGGAGGGCTTAGGAAGTGACGGCTCCCTGACGCTTTTATTTTTACATTTTACAAGGAGGGATCTGGGAGTGGTAGCTCTCTCCTTGTAATAAAATGAACGAACGAACAAACAACACCGATATTCGGTATTTGTTTGGTCATCTGACCTTTCCGTTCATTCATTCGTCTTTCTAAATTACTTTGTCTTCCAAATAAAAGCCTACCATTACACATATTTTATCCACCAACCTACCATTTTTTTTTGTATTTTTACTGTGCATAAGATAGGTACATGCATGCCTGAGATACCCCAATTGCAATCCTCATGCAACATATCATGCTTTACAATTCAGGTATTAGAGTAATCGTGCACAATTTTTTATTATATTAAACATGCGTAAAGATAACAGACATGCTAAACTGTTGCGTCCAGGCTCTGAACATATGTAGTGATAAGTCAATCAAGGTTTAGTTTGCAGGAGTTATTTAAACATGCTCTATCGTAGCCTATAGAAGTAATATGAGATAAGCTAGTGCTGTGGTTCCTGTTCCTGTAAAGTCATATATACGCTTAACTGTTGCTTCAAGCCTATGCATATGTGGTATGTCCAGGTGAAGCTAGCTAAACAGGAATATAAGCATCGCATTCAAGTGCTACTGAACTGGTTAGGTTAGGCTGTTACATGTAGATAAGACACTTATGTGTAGAAGTTACAAACTAACATGTTAAGTGATATAGCTAAACGTTTGTTGGGCAAGCAAGACATGGGGGGATACTCTGCGGTAGACACCCATGTGGGGAACATAGGAAAAGCAATTCCACTGGGTGTTAGCTACTGGGTAGTAGTGATAGGAGTTGGAATCCAAGTCCGACCCACAGTCTAGTGCTGGCAGGGTATTGTCCCGTAAGACCATTAGGTCCTCGGAGTTCCTGCTGTCTGTTGACAGGGTCATTTAGCCTATGCCTGCAGAGGGGAGTATGTCGGCACCTAGACATGGTGGTCTAGGGCAGTGGGGAGGGCTGTTAATGACAATACCATTGAATGCTGCATGCCCTCTCACCATCTCTAGTTTGGGTCATGCAGGGAGCCCATGCCTCTCTTGTAAGGGTCTGCAGTCGTGTCACTGTGAGGAGGAAGTCTCGGGATCCTGGGCAGCGGTGCGTCATCCACGTGCGAGATCTGCCGGCCGGTACTTGGAGCCTCTTTGTCCTCCGCATGGGAGTGGGGAATCGAGCCAGAGTTCTGCCTGGTGGTTGCGCCTTGGAAGCGGGTGTAGTAGGTCGCTGACTCCGCGCCACCACAACCGCTGGAAGATATTGTCAAATGCCATGAGGAATTTAGTTTTCCCAGTAGCAAGATTGTTGACGGCCATCTTGGACCGCGTAGGAGCTTATTTCACCAGGTGAGTTTATGCTTGTCTCGGTGGGGACTGGGATAATCCCTGCCGCTCTGTACGGGGGGAACGGGTGCTTTTTTCGAGAGTCTCTGCTGGTTGCCGTGGCAGGAGAGCGGCCATCTCTCCCACGCTGGCCAGGCTTGTGGGCCGCAGAGGTAGCGTGGTCCTCGTGTTTGGCATGAGTAGGTATCATGTGCTGTCCCCTGGTACCCGGCAGCTGACCTTGGGTCAGTAGGTGCTTGATTTGGTCGGTATTTGGCAAAAAAAGTCACCGGGAGCAGATCCCGCCCCAGTATATATACTTTTTAATTGTTATATTTTTATATATTTTGTATTAGTACTCTATCTTGTCACAGGACACATTGTTTACTGTATTACTATGGTAACTAGGTTGTCATATGGTACCTCAGGAAAACCTATTCCTGCTAACCAATCAATGATATAGCATGATGTATATGTGATCAGAACGAACTGTGTGTTGGATAACTTGATAAAGACCAAGCTGGCCAAAATGTTGTCAATGCTGATGTGAATCTACAATTAAGAGATTGCTTTCAGAGATTTTTGGAGTGCCAGACATTTGTTTTACTGCTATACTAGGACCCATTGGCATAGGAACCTAAAATGATCTGAGATCTACAGCCTTTTATAAAACAATAATAAAACCTGGAACCAATTAGAGAGAATAATTCAAGCCCTACAATCTCTTTTTATGGGCAAAAATTATAAGGGCCAGTAAAGGACTGCAATACTTTTTGTGCTTGAATGTACCAGGTTTTAGAATCGTTTTTCTGTGTTTTCATAATTAGTATCATGGATATTTGAAAAGCTAGAATGGATTATAAATTTCTTTTTTTTTCTGCTACTTGACCTCACATTTTAATGTATATAAGTATGCTTTTTCTCTCACAAAAAAAAAAATCATTATGATGATTAAAAAAAAAAATATTAATAAAATGTATGTGGTATATTTCAGTTTTTCTATTGAGTTCCCTTTATTTAGAAAGGGAATATTTTTAAAGACTTGTGAAACAGGCACACAACTTTAACATCCATTTATAATCATTCCCGCAAATCCAAATGACTATTTCAAACATTTAACTCTCTTCTTCGCCCTATTGTTCCTCCTCCACCTACTAACTTGACCGCCTCAGACTTTGCAACTCACTTCACTAACAAGATCTCCACAATCATGAAAGAAATCTCTCATCTTTCTTCTCCTCCTTACAATACCTCCCCTAACCTCACTCCCTCTTCTGTTCTATGTTCATTCGTACCCGCTACAGCGTGGTCACTACTCTATCCTAATTCTCCTTGACCTTTCTGTGGCTTTTTACACTTTTGATCAGCAACAGCTTCTTCTCATCCTCTACAATATCGGTCTACAAGATATTGCTCTCTCCTGGTGCTCCTCCTACCTCTCCCAGAGCTCTTTCAGTGTTTCTTTCTCTGCCTCAGCTTCTTCTCTCCAACTCCTCTCTGTTGGTGTCCCCCAAGGTTCAGTCCTTGGCCCTCTACTGTTCTCCATCTATACTGCCTCCCTTGGTAAACTCATTAGCTCCTTTGGCTTCCAATATCATTTCTATGCAGGTGACATGCAAATCTATCTGTCCTTTCCTGATCTCTCCCTCTCCCTCTTGACTAGTGTCTCTGACTGCTTCTCTGTGTCAGGATTACAAGTTGATCCAGCACGCAGTACTGTGTCACACCTAGTTCTAAGGATAACGTATAACTGGACCGTAGAATGGCAGGACTTAACGTCTCCAAAAATAGTCAAAATACTGGCCGAGGTCAGGGACACATACATAGAAACATAGAAACATAGAATGTGACGGCAGATAAGAACCATTCGGCCCATCTAGTCTGCCCAATTTTCTAAATACTTTCATTAGTCCCTAGCCTTATTTTATAGTTAGGATAGCCTTATGCCTATCCCACGCATGCTTAAACTCCTTTACTGTGTTAACCTCTACCACTTCAGCTGGAAGGCTATTCCATGCATCCACTACCCTCTCAGTAAAGTAATACTTCCTGATATTATTTTTAAACCTTTGTCCCTCTAATTTAAGACTATGTCCTCTTGTTGTGGTAGTTTTTCTTCTTTTAAATATAGTCTCCTCCTTTACTGTGTTGATTCCCTTTATATATTTAAATGTTTCTATCATATCCCCCCTGTCTCGTCTTTCCTCCAAGCTATACATGTTAAGATCCTTTAACCTTTCCTGGTAAGTTTTATCCCGCAATCCATGAACCAGTTTAGTAGCCCTTCTCTGAACCCTCTCTAAGGTATCAATATCCTTCTGAAGATACGGTCTCCAGTACTGTGTACAATACTCCAAGTGAGGTCTCACCAGTGTTCTGTATAATGGCATGAGCACTTCCCTCTTTCTACTGCTAATACCTCTCCCTATACAACCAAGCATTCTGCTAGCATTTCCTGCTGCTCTATTACATTGTCTGCCTACCTTTAAGTCATCAGAAATAATCACCCCTAAATCCCTTTCCTCATATGTTGAGGTTAGAACTCTATCAAATATTCTGTATTCTGCCCTTGGGTTTTTACGTCCAAGATGCATTATCTTGCACTTATCCACATTAAATGTCAGTTGCCACAATTCTGACCATTTTTCTAGTTTACCTAAATCATTTGTCATTTGGCTTATCCCTCCTGGAACATCAACCCTGTTACATATCTTAGTATCATCAGCAAAAAGACATACCTTACCATCAAGACCTTCTGCAATATCACTAATAAAAATATTAAAGAGAATGGGTCGAAGTACAGATCCCTGAGGTACCCCACTGGTGACAAGTCCAAGCTTCGAATATATTCCATTAACTACAACCCTCAGAATCAGACACAAAACTGAGGGAAAGCCAAAAGTCAAGGATACCAGATACCAGGGAAGTAATGACAATCTGCTATTTCTAACTGGATGGCTGCCCACTTCCTTAAACTCAACTTGACCAAAACTAAAATTCTGGTCTTTCCTCCCTCAAGATAACACACAACAGACAGAAGGGTGCGCCTTAAAAGAAATGATAAAATATTAACAATAGTCCAGATAACTTATCATAAGTCCAAGATGATATAATCCACGCATTTAAGGAGGACTCTTGAGATATAAAGTGGAGCAAGTCTTCACGGGTATATACTTGAAATTTGGTGAAGCATTTGCAAAAAGAAACCAAGAACAGAACTCCAATGGTACAGTATATAGGTAAATTAAAATAGTAAAATAGTAATAGTCAGTATTACTCACACTTTACAGAGCTAAAATCCAGCTCTGGTATTGCGCGCATGTAGTGGAATCATCCCCACTCAAGGATATATGACGCAATACTTGATTGGCAGATATATAGCACGAGTTCAGCGTCCAATGTTGGTATTGTCCAACTCAGAAGTAAAAGAATAAAATATAGTGCTCTCCGTTTTATGAATAAAAGATTTTTTAAGAAATATAAAATATTTTACTCACAATGTTTGGAGCAGACTTGTACTGCTCGGTGTAAGCGTTTGGATGGTATAATCCCCACCTACGGATTCTTTATACTTCTTATAGAGTACTCAATATTGATGTAGTCAGGAAAAAAATAAAAAATAATAAAAGAGAATATTATGGCAATTAAAATATTTGTGCCAAAATAATTCCTTTATTGATATATAGTAAAAAACAGTATCTAAACGCGTTTCGCCTAAAAAGGCTTCTTTAAGTAGATAATAATAAAAAGAACACAGCCTGACATACATGGGTTTATATAAGGTACAATAATGCTACTGAAATTTGAATTTCCCGCCATAATGACGTCATCGAAATCTCATTTTCATAATACAAATTGTAAATAGCAATTAAAACATAACATTGTAAAAAGATGAGTGGTGTTAAGAAGCTGCAACTATTTATACTGCAAAACGAAGCTTGAAATATGTAGAATTAAAGATTAAAAGCCGATCACGTGACGCACGGCTAAAACACGTCCGCGTCACGTGATACCAAATGGAACGTATGTCTTCCATCTAGGTGGAATGCATGTGTAGTACTACAGATGACGTGGAGAGGGTGGACTGTCTGAAAAATCGTCACATCCTAGAAAGGAGTGACGAGGGAATGTTAATCAAGCTGTCTGTCTGCAAAAGCAGGCAGACAGCAAAGAAGCACCAGCCTAAGGGAGACACAGGTTCAAAGCCCAAAATGGGCACATCCAAGAATAACAATAAATAAATATATTAGTTAGATGGATAAACATATAAATACAATTACAAACATCTACAGAAAACAAATGCTTAACATAATAAATCATTCTGTAGGTATATAGTTAGTATAGCAGTATATAAAATTAAATAGTGAGGACTAAGTATTTTTTAAAAGACAGTACATATTAATATTATATACATTAATATATTATAAATAATACAATACTAAAAATAGATATTTAATATAAAGCGTGAAAGCACTATATAAAAAATATATATATTTTTAAAAAATATTAAAAAATATGTATATTAGCTAAAAAGTAAACAAGGTTATTTTTATAAAACGTTAAAAAGATCAAAGTCTATATTAAGCCCTCTTGGAACGAGGGTTTTTAGGTTATAAGCCCATTCCATTTCTTTTTTGCCCAAAACTTTTTTGATGTCTCCACCTCTCAATGGGACATTGCAGATATCTATGCCAATGCATTTAAGGTGTTTTGGATTCTTTCCATGCTGTAAGAAATGTTTAGACACTGAGTGATTCTCATAGCCTTTTAAAATGTTTCTACAGTGTTCGGCTAATCTAGTTTTTAAATCTCTAGTGGTCATACCAACATATTGAAGCCCGCATGGACACTCCAATAGATAGATTACATTTTTCATGTTGCAATGAATAAAATGTTTTATATGATATGATTTCTGTGTGGATGATGATTTTAAAGAAGTGGTTTTAGATTTAATGATGTCACTCGTACGTTTGCATACTATGCACCTATTGCAT